GCATTATGGACGTACTGAGGAGCTTAGGCCAGCGTTGCGCTTTGTGAGAAAGAAGGATGAGAGGTTGTTAGGGAGAATGATAGTTAATTTTAGAGTATTAAATTAATTACAATTAACTTCTCAATAATTTTGTTTAAAAAATGAGTTAAAATATCGATTAAAGTAATTCATAAATTTTAACTATACATAAGTATTTGAGTGTCATATATAACTTTTAAATTATAATCCAAATTTTTAGTTATAACTATTTAAATTAATATTTACAATTCATTTTATAAATAAATTTGTTGGATACTTAACTACTACTTTTCTTTTTGTTTTTTTTTATCTAACTATTATTTTTTTCAGATTATTATTGTCACGGGCAGAAGTATCTGTACTTTTCGCCCGAGAAAACATTGAATAAAAAATAATTAAATCTAATACAGAATATTAGAGCCCAGATAATAATTACTATTAAATAGTAACAACACCGACGATAGTAATTATTGCGTATACTATTCTTTTATTAAAAAAACTCTTTCCTATTATTTACCAGCAAACTCTTTTTTTAAGGAAAAATATATTAATAATAAAAAGAAAAGTTTACATTGTCAGGGACAAAACAAATAGTACATTAGAAGAGGAATAATTAGTGAGGAAAAAAAAAAACAAGTCATTTGGACAACATTTTTCAACAGAAAAGATACTAAAGTTAGTAGAAAGCTTTGCGATATTTTAATCCATTAGGTGTTGACTTGAGCAACAGTGAATGTTCTTGTTGGATCTGCTCCTCGAATTCCCAAAACTTTCAACCTTTCAAAAATGATTAGAAGAGAAGTTCTCGGTCCAGATAAATATGCTGCGAACATAGGAGCCCGAGAAAAGGTGTGAAGTAATAACATCAGACTTGCTGAAAAACTTTCTCCTCCAAGAGAGATACAGAAACAGCACAGTAAAAAAAATTTCTTAAAAACATGTGCTCAAGTCTTCCAGTTAACAGCATGAGTTTGATCACAAGGGTGAGGAATGTAAATTTCTTTATGTTATATTTGGATACACATAAATTTAAATTTAGATTTGAATTTAAGCCAAATTCATTATTTGAATAATTAAAAATGTATGAATTTGGTTTAAATTCAAATCTAAATTCTTCCTTAATTTTTTTATAATTTAAAATTCTTTTTAAAATCATATTATTTCAAATCCTAGCTCACGTTTTTTAGTAATTTGACTCAAATGCATGAAGGCTTGATCAAATTATCACAGTAATTGGATTGAACCATCAAAGTTCATGAAAACAAGTTGCCAATGTTGACCGGGACGGGACAATCGACTTTCATCAGGATCGGACCAACAAGGATGATGAGGACCGAATGGCCAACTTTTTTCAAGGTCAAACAAAGGGGATGAAAGGGACCGGGCGGTCGACTTTCATCGGGACCAGACCGACAGCCACAATAAATCTTACTTTAAATCCAAACATAAGATTTTAATATTATAGTTTGAATTTTTTTTTCATTACCCAAACAAAGAATTTAGAATTTATGAATTTCAAACATGAAATTTTAAATATAAAATTTTAAATTTAAATTTTTAACTTAAATTCATCCATCTAAATACAACCTTAAAAATTTAGTATTCAAATTTTTTCATTCGTGTTGGTTGTTGTTCCATTTTCATGAATCTTTAAAAACTATGTGCCTGCTTATTAAACACTGGCACTCTCTTGATATGGCTAGGTAAAAGCAATCAATGTGAGACTTGAGAGTTCATGCTGAGAAGTGTACCATGCTTTATTAATGGATTGTATACTTGCACGACCCGCAACAGATAGCCAATCTATTGGTAAAACATAATTTTTTTTATATTTTTTCAATTTTGGAAATTTGCCTTTTTTTGGGTTAAAAAAATCATATTTCCTCTAAAAACTAATCATAGAAATAATAATAAAATTCCTTCTAAATAATTAAAAAACACAATAAAAATTTAAAATATATTAATACAATTCAAAATAAATATATACCCTGTTACAAACGAGCATAATAAAAAGTTAAAATTACAGTCCAAAGCTTAACAATAAATTTTGCAATGAAAAAATAGATAATACGACAAACTCTATAGCATTCTATGATGAAATGTCCAGATTATAAAAACACACACAATGGATGAAAAATAAATTTTGTAATGAATTATGTGATCAAAAGGGAAAAAGAAAAACAACGATGACGTGATAAGATATTAGATTTAGAGCATAAAACCTAAGATAGCACAATAAACTCTCTGTGAACTTGTTTTTAAATATCTTACTACCATACGATTGAAACGTTAAAAAAAAAGTGGGCTAATTTGCCAACCTATGGTATAGCTCATTATAGGTTTAAATTATATAATACAGATAAAAAACACTCCACACCAATCTACCATTTTTTGTCGGTTGGTGGATTGAATTCGTAAGCTCAATTTATATTACTAACTCTACAAATTTCCAACATAAATCTACGACGTAGTCATTAACATGAAATATTGAATGGTTTTGTAGATAGAAGAAACGATAGTTGTTTGTAGGAGCCTTGCCTCTATAATGAAAGTGAAAATTAAAGCTAATAATATAGGTCAACTTGTGACTTACGAGTTGGTTTACAGTAGGTTGCAGGCTTAGTAAGGTGGGTTGATATAACCTACATTTTGTACGAGTTGTATCTTATCAACTCACAACAGGTTGGTGGGTGAGTAGGCTAGCCCATCAATAAAAAAAAATTATATACATTTTTTAAATTTTAAAATTATAAATTTATTATAATATTAGAAGCTTTATCTATCATTAGTTATTAACATCACGTAATTAAACATATAAATATAATTAACACATAGAAGTCTAGAAAGTAAAATTAAATTTGACATTAACTTAAGTAAAGATTAGTAGGCTAACTCTTTTTTTTTTTTTTGCTAGTTGAGAAATTTTGAGTTTATTGAAGTAAAATGTAATAACAAAGACAATAAATAAATAAATATAGGATTCGTCCACAATTTGATAACCTAATGACTCATAATTCAAAAGCCATTGAAGAGGATTTTAAAGTTAATATATAGATCATTTTAAATGACTCTAAAAATGATTCGCATGCCACTTGGAACACCCTACTCTAAATAGCAGCATAACAATAGAGTTTGAACTCTGCATAATCTTTTTTTTTTAAATAGATTGTTGTATTTCTTGTGCCTGCTTGAAAATATTTTACTTGAATTAAATTGTGAAAAAGTCTTTTGGTTGGGTCAATGTTACACTAATGCACTTGGCTGGCCATGAATTTATAACTATCTCAGCTAATTAAATGTGATAAGTAAATGTGACCGATAGTAATGATAACAGGTAATAAGTATGTAATTTGAATTATTTTAATGATTTGAATAATGATAAGGGTTTGAGAATTGAAAGAACAATCATGTAATATTGTCTTTTTTTTTTCAATAAAAAAGCAGGCTAACTCACCAATCCATGGGTTAGCTCGCTGTTGGTTCAAGCTATATTGAGTAAACCAAAGTCAGCTCGCATAAAAATAAACTGTTTTTTAACCCTTGTGGGTTGGCGGGTTGAGCCGCAAGCAAACTTATAAAATTTATTTAAAAAAACTTAAAACGTGAATGCCTATTTTAAACTAGACCTAAATTTATAGCCAAGCCTATTTAAAGAAAAAATTATTTTTTGATAAGCTTGGAGTTAAAATAACAAAGAGCGAAAAAAAATCATTTTTATGTTAGATAAATTAACTATTATCTCTCGCCCTCTTGTGAAAATATATTATGTTATACACGCACGACACCTATGCATGTATTGTAATAGAATTTAAACAATTTTATTAAGACAATGAAAATGAGCCAACAGGCCCCTGAGGACTGAAGTCTTGACCTAAATCAGCATAGAAGGGCAAGTTCAAGCCTATAACTATATTTATTCAAAAATAGGATGAGACGTTTTAGTCTCAAGTATTGGCCTAACCTATTTTTGTTAGAAAACTTGATTTTCACCCTGCTCTACAAGATTACAACAAGGCTAATATAACGGTGATTCAAGATGACTTGAATCCCTTGCCTGGATTCGAAATGCATGCAGGTTTTGTATTGCACTAATGATATACTGACCTCGCTCAATCAAGGCCATGTGTATATAGTGATAAACTGTTGCATATTATCTCGCTCTGCAAACAATCGCATACACGTAAAAATTACAGCTATGTTATGAACCAAAATTAACATTAATACCTATTAGTATCATACGGCTGTGTGTGTGTGTGTGTGTGTGTGTGACAAACAAGTTAGATCATATTTAAGCCACATTCGGAAATGTACGATACTCCCTGTGATTTTATTTCATATAAAATACTAGTAAAATTAGAAGAAAAGCAATTAATGATATTTTTTATACAAAATGATTTATAAAGGGGACATAATTTTTTTTTAAAGATACTTCTAGGATCCTATTCGTAGTGCAAAGAAAAAAGAAAAAATTCGATTCTACTCATTAGGCATTTACTCTCTCCTTTTAAAAATATAAAAGAGTTTTTAAGGAGTTACATGTTTAAAAATGTAAGGTATTTTTAGTCTTTTAAAATATAATCATTGTCTTTTTTTAAAAGTATCTTCATTGATAATGATTTTATATTTATTGTAGAATATTTAATAGAAATAAATATAAAAAGATATGATTAATTTAAAAGTAGATAATTATTTTATTGAGGTGAAATTTAATTAAAAATGCCTTATATTTTTAAATATAGAGAGTATTAATTTTCAATGCTCATCTTTATACTTTTATTCTTATTAAATGCTTTAAATAAAAAAATATAAGAATAAATGTAAAAATTTATTAAATTTTAAAATAAAATTAATGAAATTTAATATTTTCTTTAATTTTGATAAAATAGGGAGTAATTTTTACATTTGATACGGCGCCCGTGGGAGTATCGATATCAGAATTGTGATTACTTAGCTTGGATGCTGGCAAGGTTGGGGTTGTGTATCCCAGCCAATCAGGACATGCCATCACCGGAAGAGCACCCCAAGCATTCGGTTAAAAAGCAAAGTCCACGGAGCTCTCGTAATCCCACCAATCAGAGCTCTGAAAATGTATGCCTCGAGATGTGTGAAAGAATCCGACAGTTTTATTGACGGCCTTGGTCCGATCCCACGACACGCAGCATGGTCTCGCGCGCAAACACCCGCCCTCTCACGGCGGACTCAGAGAAGCTTCATGTGCACGCTTCTTTCCTCGGCATTCCCTTACAAAGCCCTTCATCAGCCCTCACACTCCTGTCCTTTCGCTTCGTTGCTGAATTCCCAAAACCCTAACAATCTCTCCTATTCATGGAAGAGCCTCAATGCTCCAGAGCCGCTTTGCCTGCCTCACTCCCACCCGGTTGCCTTTTCCATCCTTCCGAAGAGCAGCTGCTCTGTTACTATTTACCCAAAAAGAACGCCAGCGTTAATTTCCATGGTTGCGATCTGATCAGGGAGCTTGACCTGTACGAGTATGATCCTTTCCAATTGCCTGAAATTGCGTGCTTTTCCTATGGTTATCGTGGAAAGAAGAGGCATTGGTACTGTTATACTGCCAGGGTTTTGAAGGATTCCAGGAGAAAGACTAGGATGGTCAAGAGCGGGTATTGGATGAGAAAGGGAGGGGTTAGGAATGTTTTAAGTGATGGTGGGAATGTCACCTTGGGCACCAGGACCACTTTCGTTTTCTGTTTGGGGAATTCTCCCAAGAACGCCAGCAAGACGAATTGGATGTTGCATGAGTATGCATTAGTTGGTCATCTCAAGGTACACGATTTTGGACTCACTCTAGGCTTTTTACTTGAAACTCAACATTAAAACTAAAGTATTGCTTAGGAAGGTTTTGATTTAATGCCACGTCTTCGGACGTTATCTAGTTTTGTGTTTAGCGCTCGGTTACTCCGTTACTGGTTCTTGGATAGGAAAGTGGTCAATTTTCTGTCCTCTTCTAATTATTATTTTGATAGCATCCCTGTGTAATGTTACGGGCAATGTGAAAAATCATTGAGAAATTATGAATTGGATTCATGCCTGAATATGCACTTAGGAAATCGTGTTTGTATTTTTGTTCTGCGGAACTTTTTAATTTATTTCTTGCTGCTGTTAATAATTGAGTTCAGTTGTGGCGTTTTGTTTATTTATTTATTTATTTATTCTTTTGAAAAGTTAAAAAGTTGGGACTTTCTTGTGATTTTCTCCCGGAATGAATTGCCTACTTCCAAAGCTTCAATTTTCCGGAAATTCGTTGGACAAAAGAGAAAGTTGTACTTAAATTACCCTTCTTTGTCTATGTATATGTTGTTGGAAGACACTTGTATACTTTTTGCGTCATGATTCTTTTGTTTAATGGCATTTCCCAGACTATAAACCCATAATTTAAGCCTGTCTGCGTTCTTTGTTGAATTCCTAAGTTCATAATTTTGGAGTAATCACACTATCTTCTGTTTGTTTGGCACTCTCTTTTTCTACGCTTTCTTTCTTGAAGGTATTTAGTTCCTTCATGTTCTAATGATTACCTTGTGGAAGAGACAAAAGTGTTCCCTTGTTATGTTCCCTTGTATTTTCAGTAAGTATTAAGAATTTAGTTACTTCCTTTATTACTTATATTTTTCTGCAGGGTTTCCTCATATCTTTATTTCTTATGCAGGCTTCATTTGTTGTTTGTCGAGTATTTTTTAGAGCGTGTCATAAGAATAGCGTGTCAGAGAATGGTCTGAGTTCATGCGCAGAGGAAAGTTTCTCAGCTGTACGTCACATTGGCATTCAGCATGATGAATGTGTTTTGCCTGATATAATTGAGACTCAAATGTGTGGTGGCTGCTCCATTGATAGAAAGATTTCAGTGTCTGCCTTGAAACCTGCTAGCGAACTAGATAAGAATCAAATTGCACCTGCAGCAGCTTCTGTTGCTACTGTCCAGCGTTGTGCAGATCCTCAAGACAGTCAAACGGTAGTATATATTCAACTTTGCCATTCCTCTTTGCAATTTCTAATATGTGACTCAGGAAAAGCTATTCTCTTTACTGCTTGTGTACTTGTATTATATATAGTTTTTATTCTCAAGCTGGGTGTACAAACCTGATTTACTTCTGTGAAGGATTTTTACTTAGCTAGCATTTTGCTTGAACTCATATAGTTCCTTAGCAGTTATTTCTGTTTTGTTGTCATTTTTTCCTAGTTGTTGATAACAAATGTCTGCTCTGCATCTGTATGGTCTGCGATGTTTAGTTTTAGTCAGAATTAGGGGCTACTGATGCTGGAAAGCAGTTAATAATTTTCTATATCACTTCTGTGAAGTTGCATTTTTTTAAAAGAAATGGACAAAATTGTATAATGTGGCTGCCTTTCTGCTGCCTTGTATGTCACTGAAAATTCAACTGTGCCAAATTAATGCTCTGAAAAATTGGAGATATACAAATGTGTATCCGGTACAATTTTATTTATTATATTTCCCCTCATTGCAAGGTTATAATTGATATCTACTCTTTTAAAGGGGGAAATCAAAATCAGTGATTAGCAGATAGCTCTACTGGTTGAATAGTTAGCATGATGACTTGGCTGCTTGTTTGAAGCATGTCCCTGTTTTTGGGCTTTAGATTGCCATTTTGTCAATACACCTTTTGTATGGCATTTCTTGATCTTTAATATAAAACCAAAACAGTGTCATTTTTATTTATTTTTCCTCATGTTTTCTTTTTGCCTATGCTTGTTATCAGGTAAATTTTTCTGGACTTCCTGGTGGTGGCGCGATGTTTGTCGATGCATTGACATCTCAGCAACATATACTTTCAATTCTTGAGGAGGATTTCATAGAGTTGGATGATCTAGCTTGAATCGGTTGATTGTGAAAGATAAGTGAATAGTAGTCCTAATCTCATGATACATATGATCTGAAACAGCTGTATTTAGAATGGGTAAACAACCCTGCAAATACACAAGGGTTTAGAATATTCAGTAACCCTTTTTTTCCCTATAAAGTGAAGAAACATAGTCTCAAATGAGGTTGCAGCAAATGAAGTGGAAGGGTCACTTCACTTGTTAAGATAGCTTGTTGATAGATCAATAGATGATTGTAAATACACTATTGAACCCTTCTTGAAGAGTTATTCAGCAGATCTTTAATATGGGCATGCAGTTATTTATTTTCCAGATATCTAATGAAAGGCCATTGCTCTGGAATATTACTGTCAGAGTGTGATATATTTAGCTTTGGTAAATGAAACATGCAAATTTTACCCAAGTAAGGTAGTAATGTAATAAAACCTACCAATTTCGTCAGATGAAGACTTGTTTCTCATAAGCCTGGTGAAAGGCCATTTGCTTAGAGATTGTCTCATAGGAAGACTTCTAGCTTATTCTGTTTTCTGTTTCACACCTTTTCTTGGGCAGAAGCAAAGTACTAGACGATTTTGTATGACATTTAAGGGTGGAGTAATGGGGCAAGGCAAAATAGCAAAACACTAGCTTATCTATCCTAATAAAAACTTGCTGACTCGTCTATTGTTCCATTGAAGTGTAGGTTTGAAACTGATATGTTGACTCCCGAATAAAGATGTTTGATTTGACGGGAATCCCAACTTTGCTTGATGATGGTTGTCTTCTGGGTTTAGAGTTCAGAGAGAATGACAATTATCGTAGTTTGAGTTTGCATAAAATGACATTAACAGGGCTTGAAAAGATAGAGTTGTTCTTCTCAGGAGTCTGGATATGGATGTGTTTTGCATGCCATTATTTATGTGATTTTGTCTCTTCCTCTACGTTGGCACAGGGGTTGGTAAGTGAAATTAGAATTCTGGTTCGTACGGGAGCCCCAACAGTAGGTCTGCAGCGGGAGTGTTTATACAGCTAATTTTGGTGTATATCATTTGCCCTTTCGTTCTCCCTTGCTTTTCAATGTTAACGTGCCAACGTGTGCTCACTTGTTTTCTCAAGATTATGAATTATTTTTCAATGCAGGACTGCTTTTGCTAGCTAAACCTAACTAGTAATTTCTAGTGGGTGCTTATATTCTGCAAGTGGAGCAGGGTTTCTTGTTTTGCCTGTGGCATGTCTATATGTATCAGTTTGGGCAGTAAGGCTGTTGGTCGATTGTGCATCAATTTAAAACACCTTGTGACGGCAACAACTTGTGGACTGGGAGAGAGCAAAAGCTAGCTTGTCCCATCCCCTTTCTCTGTGTCTCTGTCTACACCCGAAGCACCTGCATTCTTTTTTCCTACACACACGACTTATTGCCTTGAATCCAGCACATCAATCAAAATTTATTATTTAATTAAAATCACATAAAATTATAGTACATTTTCTGTCTTGTCTCTAATAATATTACAATTAATATCATGGCAGGAGTTATAATTAATATTTTTTAATGTAAAGATAAAAGCTGTTTAATTGTTTAAAAATATTATAGTTTCTTTTATATTTAAAGAAAAAATGAATTTTAAAAAAATACTTTCTCTATTTTAAATTATAAGATATTTTTAGATAAAATTTTACATACTAATAAATGTTATTAAATATGTTTAATAATGTTATTTTTTCAAAATAAAAATAAAAATTTTTAAAATATCTATTATTTAATACATTGAAAAGAGAATGGATAAAAAATAATTATGGAAAGAGAAAGGGTAATATTAAAATTGGTATATTTAATAAAATTTTAATTTATCTAAAGTGTTTTACATTTTAGAATGAAAATTTTTTTTTAAAGTGTCCTATAATTTAGAACAGAGAGAATACCATACCTGAGGCATTTATTGTTGCTTTACTCATGGTTCTGCTTCCAACATTTATAAAATTTACTTCCTTTAATGCCTTATCATGCTTTTCACCAGAGAAATATTGTAAATTGGGTGCATAATATTATTTATAATCTCTCCAATAAAAACATAATATTTAGATGATATTAAATATTAATTAATTTTAAAAATAATGATAATAGAATGAGAAAATGTAAGAAATTAAATGTGTATTTTATTATAAAAATAAAATTAATTTAAAAAATATCACATAAGTTTTTATTTAAATTATTTAAAATATTTTAATTAAATAAATTATAAATAACGTGAAATACTTAATTTATTTAAATATTTCTCTTTTCACCAACCATTCATGCCTTGCCCACCCCACTCCACCCTTTTCTGCTGACATGACTGCCAAATGTATCGGTTTCGCAAATCACAGCGAAATTATTATCATCTTTATTACTATTGTGTTTCACAATGTTAACCAAACCAGGAGGATCTATATTAATATACATCTACTTTGCTGTTTCAAAAATAATTGTGAGCGGCAGATGGATCATTTTCTGAGAACTAGACAAGCTAATTGTTTTGATCGGTTGAATTATGAAGCAGACAATGTCTAGTTCGCAAGGGGGGAAAGACGGGGCTAGAGAACAAGTTAAGCTGGCCTCGAAATGTTATGATCATGAATTTGGAGAAAGAACATGGAGTGTCGATTTTTTATTTTGATGAGATACTATCTTTAGATTTTAATATTCATTTTTATTATTATACATTATTATTTTCTTTATTTTAAGCATGCAGTATTTAAATTTAAAGCATGTTGATTTAATTATAACCTGTTTGAACATGCTTCATCAATTGAATTGGGCTCGAATTTGATCCAGCCAAATGATCATATAAAAATAACCATGGTGTCATGATTTTAATTTGGTCCCATATACTTATTAAAAAGAAATGGAATGAAAGGAATTAAAAAAATTAAAGTAAAAAGAAGATTATCAAATGAAATAGGTGATCACATTTTAAGAAAGAGGAGTAATTTAATTTATGAGATTGTGAATAATAATTTATGAAATTTTTGAAGAGTATAATAATTTTTACATTATAATATATATTAATGAGTTTTATTATATTTAACATGACATAAAGTGTGATTTAGTTCATTTTTATTTTAATTTTTTAATCCATTCTATTTCATTACTTTTTAACAATCAAAGGAGATCATATTGATCCGATTTCTTTAAACATTGAATATAATATGTGTGTGCATTGTGCATGTATATTTGTCATCATTGAAATATGATAAATATTTATTTTTTATTTTAGTATATCATACTTTATGCTTGATGTATACTTCCTCTGTTAAAAAATATAAAACATTTTTAACTGAATCTCATCCACAATAAAGTAGTTACCTACTTTTAAATCCTATCTTTTGGCATTTACCCATGTTAAACATCCTATAATAAATATAAAGTCATTAATCAATATGAGTACTTTGAAAAAAAATTATTACACCTTAAAAGACTAAAAATACTTTACATTTTTTAACATCTAATTTCTTTATATTTTTTAATAGAAGGAGTAGTTATTTTTATTTGATACTTTTTTTTAGTACAAGAAATTAGTCAAAACAAGTTTATTACAATTGAATTCAAGACCTTCCAATGATAGGATGAGGATGCCAATAGGGCATTTTTTTTAATATAATAGGGAATAAGGTTAGAGGGCAGTCAGGTATTAAGTGTCGACTAAAGTTATATTTAATTTTTTAATATAATTTAATATTCTTCATAAAGGCTATGCACCATTAGATTTGGCAGGAGGCCACTCATTTACCTTGAAATTAGTAATTGGGGTCCTAATAGTTTCCAAAGGGTTTGATTGTCTCGTTAGTTATCTAACCCTTCTAAATGGACAGGACAGTTTAAGAACTTGCTTTAGTGTTTTTTTTTTTGGTAAAGTGGTTTAGTTAATCTTCATCGTGACCTCTCTCTTCAACATATATAGCTTATAGGTGAGAGATTACAGGCAAAGGAATTAGCTTTTTAGCTAGGATGGAAAGAGAGAGAGAGAGAAAGAGCGGGGGGGATGAAAGAAAGCACAGAGAGTAAATGGTAATTTTTTTATATCGAAAATGGATAATAACATTAAACAAAAGTAGAGTAACATAATTCAAAGCCATAAGCCAAAGACAAAGCCAAAACATAATAAAGAAAATAAAAGCACATTAGCCAATCCCTTCATGATCATGTTTTGGAGCCTGTTGCTGCAAGTAGTTTTGACAAGAGCTTAAGTCTTTGAAGAGCAAAGTAAAATGAGGGAGTGAAGGTTCAGAAAACCCAACCTAAAGGTTCTACTCCTTTTGAAATAGAGGCAGCGAGATAGTCCACAGTAATATTCCCTGATCGTCGAACTAGAGAAAAGTGAAGTGATGTAAAGGACTCAAAACTCTCAATCAAATCTGCTAAAAGACTATGGAAAGACTAATTACACTAATTCCACCTTTTAGTTGATAAAGCTATATAAAAGTCCTGACAGTCTACCTCAACAACAAATTTATGAGTGCTTTTAGAAGATAACAAAGAGATAGCTTTTTGACAAGCAAGTAGCTTGGCTATAAAACCAAAAGACACATTGATTGTTTGGCACTAGCCCTTGATGAAACCATATGAGTGATCACTCCAAACAATACCAATGCCAGCATTTCCAGAGGATGCTGAATAAGAAGCATCATAATTGACTTTATTTTCATTTAAAGAAGGAGGAAGCTAAATATGAGATGCAGGATCAACATTAGCAATAGAAAGAGTTTCCTCATGTGTAGCAAAATAAAACTCAACAGTTGCAGACAATAGTAAAAGGATCAATTATAGCACAAGAGAAAAATAGGCAGACCTTAACTTCCAAATATTCTAACAGAGATTTGCAATGTACATCCAAAATAGAATCTTGGAGAAAAAAGTTACTGCACCATTAATCAAACGAGGATATATCAGCAGGGTTAATTTTCAAAGTTAAATAGCAACTATACCAGGCTTCAAGATGTATCTTGCTAATTGGGCAAAGGGGGTCTACAGCACATTTTCTTTTGTAGATTGCTTCTCTGGTTACGAGTGTAACATACCAAAAATTTTTTTTTTAAAATAATTTAACTCAACCATAGTTGGGTTACAGCCACCCAACACATTTTTATATCAATAATTTCAATATAATATATTTTATAATTGGCTTCAACTCACACACTATAACATTTCAGATAAATTTTTATCTCCCACATGCCATTAGGCTAAATCACATTTGTCCATCCTTATACTCCCAATAAGTAAACTAAATCACATTTGTCTATCCTCATACTCCCAACAAGTAAAATAAGCAATTTAGTCAATTTTCAACACAAGCCAGTTATTTGGTCTTATAATCATGCCATTTTAA